CGGCAATCACGAATAGACGAGTTAGCACCCATCTGCACGCCTTGGTTAACACCATTTTGGGGGGCAACCTTCCAGCACCGGTGTCGGACCTTCTGACAGCTTCACGGCTCATTGCCCTGGCCAAACCCGGTGGGGGGGCTCGACCAATCGCCATTGGCGAATGCATCACGCGGCTGACTGCCAAAGCAGCCCTCGCAGCCATGGGAGAGGCCGCGCGGGCCTTTTTCCTACCTCTACAGTATGGCGTAGCCGTGCCTGGAGGAGCCGAGGCAGTCATCCACGTGGCACGGGCGTATCTGGACAAGCTTCCCAACAGCCTCGTGCTGCAAACCGACATCTCAAATGCATTCAACAGTATTTCACGGCAAGCCATCGCGACAGCGTTACAAGGACCAGAATTGTCGCCACTACTGCCGCTGGTGAAACTGACATACGGTAACCCGTCGAAATTATTCGTCGACGCGAATTTTGGATCGGACCCACTGATCAGCGAACGGGGCGTGCGCCAAGGGGACCCACTTGGCCCACTACTGTTTGCGGCAGGTATGCACACTACACTCCGCGACACTGCTGCAGCACACCCCCAGGTGCTGTGTCTGGCATACGCCGACGACGTCACATTCCTGGGGGAGGCGACGGCTACTGTAGCAGCCTTCAACCATTTCACCGAGCAGCTGGCACACCTGGGGTTACGGCATAATGCGCAGAAATGCGCAGCTTGGAGCACACAAGCAGCAGTAAAGGATTTGCTGCCGCACGACGTACCATTCTCCCAGGATGGTGTTCGCTTGCTCGGAAGCTTTGTGGGGCCTGACAGTGGGGCGTCACAGTTCCTGTCGGGTCAGCTGGAGGAGATGGCCAAACCCCTGCCACTGCTCGAGAAAGCCGACCCGCAGGTAGCCTCGTTATTACTCACCCGCTGCATTTCGAGGCGTGTGGCATACCTTACCAGAACAACACCGCTCTCCCTTTTGCCGCGAGAAACCTGGAGCCAGTGGGGGACAGACCTGCTAGCGGCCCTACTCACAGCATGCCACCTTCGCGTCCCCACCTGCCGTACCGAGCAAGCACGTGTCTGGGCGCAGGCGTCCCTGCCGCCGTCTTTGGGAGGGATAGGCATTACTGACCCGCTGGTCGAGGGTGTTTTCGGGTTCGCAGCGAGCTTCACGCAGGCGGCGCTTTTCATCGCATCACTAGACGGCGCTCCTGAGGGCGCGCTGGCGCAGGCGCGGGACCACATGCAGTTGCCTGCTGACACCACCACACCCCTTCACACGTGGCTGTCGGAGTGTGAAGCAGCGTTACCCGACGATGCGCGAGAAGTCCTGGAGAAAGAACGGCTGGAGCGAACCGATGTGAGGCTCCAGCACGCATTGGCGCTAAGGGTGCATGGGAGTAGATATGCGGCGCAGGTGCAGGCGACGAGGGAGATGGCGGTGAACCCCTTATGCGGACATACGCAGCGGATGTACTCAATGACGGGGTACGGGACTGGGGATTGGCTGACCGCTATCCCGATTGCGGCCAACAGGAGGATAGGGCCCACTCACTTTTCCAATGCCGTACGTTTCCGGCTGGCCCTCCCCTTCTCCACGCCGAAGAATTGCGACTGTGCGGACCACACGGAGATCACAGACCCCCGCCTCCCGAATCACCTTCTCCGCTGCGGCACGGGCAGGCATCGCATCAACACCCACAACGAGCTGCGCGATGCCTGTGTCAGCATGGCCCAGGACGCGGGTTTCATCGTTCACAGAGAATCCTCAGCGCACTGCCCCGTTGAGGAACAGACGGCAGATTTTACAATGACGGACAGAAGCAGTGGGGCCGTCTATGTATGTGATGTCACCATCACCGACCCCATCAGCACAAGGGACCCGGAGGCACAGAAGGGCAGGGGCTGGGCGGCCCGGGAGCAAGCGGACAAGAAAATCCAGCACTATGCCTCCCTACCAGAGACGGTGACCTTCCTCCCCCTGGCTGTGGACACCTATGGCTGCCCGTGTGCGGAGGTCCCAGCCTTTTTGAAGCTCTTAGCGGACACTGCAGCTCGGCGACACTTCAACGCCGACTCTAAATCGTTCTATGCTGCAAAGTTCCTGCACCAGTTCAGGCAGCGCTGGTCTGTGGCCCTGCAAAGGGCCCAATCTGTAGGCCTCCTGCTAAAACTTGGGGAGGCGGCGGCGGTTGAGAACCCGCCGGTGGGAGGAATTGGGGATGAGTTGCATCTAGGGGACTGCTTTGCAGTGATTGAGCCCCTCGTAGAGCTGTAGATTGGCGAGGTTTGCAACCGGCATGCTTGTTATCTAGGCCACTATAACTTGCCTGCCTGTACTTGACTGCTATATCAATAAAAGGACCATTAGAGAGAGAGAGAGAGGCCCTAGGAACTAGTCCTTAGCCTCTCCAGCACTCTCCAATCTAGTATAAAGTGCTCCTCTGCAGCTAGCTCTCCTCATTGTTCGGTTCTCTTCATTTGTTTCTCCTAACCGAGCGGCGAGATAGGAGAGAGAGAGAGAGAGAGAGAGAGAGAGAGAGAGAGAGAGAGAGAGAGAGAGAGAGAGAGAGAGAGAGAGAGAGAGGCCCTAGGAGCTAGTCCTTAGCCTCTCCAGCACTCTCCAGTCTAGTATAAAGTGCTCCTCTGCAGCTAGCTCTCACGTTCACGTTCTTTACCGACAAGTTGGCCCACATCGGCCTGGCACATAACCCAAATAAGTGTGCAGCCTGGAGTGCGTCAACGGTCGAGCCAGCGCAGCTTCCACACGGAGTGCCGTATTCGAGGGAAGGCGTACGGCTTCTTGGAAGCTATCTAGGGCCGGATTCAGGAGCAGCCAAATTCCTGTCGAGCCAGCTAGAAGAAATGGCGAAGCCATTACACCTCCTTGAACGAGCCGACCCTCAGGTAGCTGCCCTGCTACTCACCCGTTGCATCTCCAGGCGGGTGGCTTATCTCACCCGTACGACACCTCTCCACCTACTCCCTCGCGATATTTGGAGCCAGTGGGGACGGGACCTACTCATCGCACTCCTATTATCATGCGATATCCGCGTCCCCACGTGCGAAACCGAGCAGGCCCGAGTATGGGCACAGGCGTCACTGCCACCATCACTAGGAGGCATCGGCCTCACAGACCCGTTAGTCGAAGGTGTATATGGGTACACGGCGAGTTTCACCCAGGCGGCGCTTTTTCTCTCCACCCTCGCGCTAGAACCATTTGGTGCCCTGATCCGAGCTAGGAATCAGATGCTCTCACCACGGGATGTCACCACACCACTGCACACATGGCTTACCGAATGCGAAGCCGCATTGCCAAAAGACGCGCGTGAAATTTTAGAACAGGAGCGACTGAAGCGGTCGGACACTCGACTCCAACACGTACTCGGTTTGAAGGTGCACGACAGCAGATACGCCATGCAGGTGCAGGCCACGAGGCGCATGAAACCGAACCCACTTTCAGGCCACACGCAGCGTTTGTTCTCACTGACGGGGTACGGCACCGGCGACTGGCTAACCACGATTCCGATTGCCCCAAACCGGCGAATAGGCCCGGTACATTTCGCCAACTCCGTTCGCTTTCGGCTCGGGCTCCCTTTCTCAACGCCAAAGAAATGCGACTGCTCTGACCACACACCTATCACCGACCCCCGCCTCCCAAATCACCTCTTTCGCTGCGGCACGGGTAGGCACCGCATCAATACCCACAACGAACTGCGTGACGCATGCGTCAGCATGGCGCAGGACGCGGGGTTTATCGTTCACAGGGAATCAGCCGCCCACTGTCCCATTGAAGAGCAGACCGCTGACTTCACCATGACAGACCGTAGCAGCGGGGCAGTCTACGTCTGTGATGTGACCATCACGGACCCTATCAGCATAAGGGACCCTGAAGCACAGAAAGGCAGGGGGTGGGCGGCAAGGGAGCAAGCCGACAAAAAGATACAGCACTACGCTAACCGCCCAGATACGGTTAGCTTCTTCCCGCTGGCTGTGGAAACCTACGGCCGCCCTTGTGCCGAGGTACCTGTTTTTCTGAAGCTCTTAGCAGACATGGCGGCTCGGCGCCACTTCAACGCCGACTCAAAATCCTTTCATGCCGCGAAGTTTCTGCACCAGTTCAGACAGAGATGGTCGGTGGCCCTTCAGAGGGCACAGTCTGTAGGCCTCTTACTCAAGCTCGGGGAGGCGGCGGCGGCAGAGAACCCGCCGGTAGGCGGAATTGGGCAGGAACTGAACCTGGGGGATTGTTTTGCGGTGGTCGAGCCCCTCCTGGAGCTCTAGAGGAGGTTGTGGGTAGGATCCGGTGCGTTGGTTGTTTCCTAGGCCTCTATAAACCTGCATGCTTGTACTTTGCGGCTAAATCAATACAAGGACCATTAGAGAGAGAGAGAGAGAGAGAGAGAGAGAGAGAGAGAGAGAGAGAGCGAGAGAGAGAGAGAGAGAGAGAGAGAGAGAGAGAGAGAGAGAGATAGTATATAGTCCTTAGATGCACCCTTTTGAGCTCATTCTTCACTGGTGAGTTCAGTTTACTCCCCAAAACCGGCGGCTCGCGCCGGAGAGAGAGCGAGAGAGAGAGAGAGAGAGAGAGAGAGAGAGAGAGAGAGAGAGAGAGAGAGAGAGAGAGAGAGCGAGAGAGAGAGAGAGAGAGAGAGAGAGAGAGAGAGAGAGAGAGAGAGAGGCAGAGGGCCCAATCCGTGGGTCTCATGATCAAGTTAGGAGAGGCAGCGGCTGCAGAGAGCCCGCCTGTAGGAGGGATAGGGCAGGAATTGTACCTTGGGGACTGTTTACCATCCTTGAGCCTCTTCTTGAGCTCTAGGTGACTTAGTGGGGTTGGATAGTCTAGGTTACCTTGCGTGTTAGTACCTGCTGTCTCTCATTGCATGTGTGTACCCTTCTGGCTTATCAATATACGGACCATTAGAGAGAGAGAGAGAGAGAGAGAGAGAGAGAGAGAGAGAGAGAGAGAGAGAGAGAGAGAGAGAGAAAGGGAAGGCACCAGCTACTAAACCAGGATCCAGCAAAGCCGCCCGTCCAACCAGCGTAGGACGGACGCGGCAGCGGCTACAAGGTCGAGAGGGTCCTCCTGGGCAGACTCGGCAAGCCGTGCCAAAGCTCCAGGGCCGGGCCCGAGGGCAGCCCCGGGGGAGCCCGGCACAAAGCCAATCAGCGGGAGGTAATGCTGCAACTCCTCCGCTGCCGCCACTGCCGCCGTCTGCTCCGCTGGCTGCATTGCCCCGATCTGCACCTCCTGTTGCACCAGAGTCACGTGAAGCTGGTCTAGCACGTACGACAAGAGCGTCAAGCAAGTCCCCACGTGCATCACGCGCTGCTCGACGAGAGTTGGAGGCTGACCAGGAACCACGGCTTGAGGGGGCGGCGGGGCAGGAGGCGTCACTGGAACCCATGGGTGCTGCACAGGGGGGCCTTGGAATGAGTACTGATGGAATGACGAGGGGCCCGACACAGACTGAGGGACCTGAGCGGGCGGAGGAGGGGACGGAGGAACATGGTACACCGAGGAGCGATGCTGCTGCGGATGGAGGGGCAAAGGAAACCGACGGAGCGGAGATTGAGCTGGAGGCGGCTGCGCCGCCCGCGGTGGCGGCTGGTGAGGAGTCTGGAGTCGCGGCTGCTGGAGTGCCTGCGGTCCTGGTGTCTGCTGGCGCCTCTGCCGCTGCCTTTGACGCCAGCTCAGTTTCGCCCTCTGCCACCCCGCGGGCTGCACAGGCGGAGGCTGAGGGGACGAGGCTGGGCGCGAGTCCGGAAGAGACTGCGGAGGCGGCGCTATCCGCGTCACCGGCGCCGGTGTCGCCGGCCGTGCTGGCGGCGGCGGTGTCTGCTGCGACTGGGGTGCGAGGCGACGCCCCAACGGCGGAAGGCGCGACGGCTGCCGCTGCGAACGTCGGAATGCCTGCTGCTGCCGCGGCCTCAAGGAGGCAGGAGCACGTCCAGGCTGAGGGAGAGACTCCGAGGCCCCCGAACGGCGCCGCCTCCGGCGCTACACGAGTGATGTCGACGAGGAAGCCGCGGGCCCAGCCAGCGCCGAGACGGCTCGGAGCAGGGCTGGGACCTGGCTCCCCGGGACCCCTCCTGGGCTGGCTTCTGCAAGGGCAACTGCCATCAGAGCGAGTGCATCGGTCGTCATCTGCGCACACGCAAGAGGCACGGGGGATTTCTGGGCTCAATGAGGCGACAACAGAGGCAACAGCAACCCGTGTGGCAGAGCAGCCGGCGCCAAACCAGGACAGCGGAGCACACACGCACTCACCGTCAAGCCCAGTAGCTCCAACTGCGGCGGCCGTCGCCACTCGTCGCTCAGCTCGTTTGGGTGCTGTCACGTGGGGCCCACCAAGGGGAGGCAGAACGCCATGGATGCCGGCGGGGAGAGCGGGACTAGCGGCGACGCCTCAGCCAGCACTGGCGGCGAACCGGGGTTTCCGCGGTATGGATCGCGGGAGGCGAGGGGGAAGGCGCGGGGGTGTTGCTCGCTTGGGGGGAGCGGAGATCCAGGCATGAACAGGCCCTTGGCGGGAACGCCACGACCGCCCAGAGGTTTTGGAAGCCCCAGCCAATGGGGTCGACGCTGAGCCTGCTGAGGACATGGGGGACCCTGAGTTTATGTGTGGAGAGGAGGCGGGCCCGGAGTCCGAAGAGGTGTCTCTGGTTAACGAGGAGGATTTGGGAAGAGGCCGGAATCGAGTGCGAGGGACGGGAGAGGGAGTGGCCAGGGCGACATCCCAGGCTGAAGGAGTATCTGTGCCAGCTCCCACGGTAACCAACGAAGTGAAATCGCCGGCCACCCTGGCAGAGGATGACGCCATCTGGCAAATGGCGGGCACGTGGACTATGGATCTCCTTCAACGGATGGACCAACCCTTCCTAGTCAGACGCTTACCACCCCAAGTGCTGGACAAATTCTGTTTGTGTCTCCTCGCACCTCTCCTGCGGCTGTCGACGAACCCAGAATGCCCAGGTGCTTGGGCGGTCCTACTATACCTCCCGAGGCTGACACTTTGCCCCCCACCAGAGCCTGTCACTGGAAGTCGGTGGGCAGCGATTGAGGCTCGGTTACATCAGTTCCAGCTGGGAGAGTGGGATGGGTTGTTCGAGGCAGCCTGCACTATCCCCGACACGGGGGGTCCGCTAAGGCATCAAGACGATGACGAAGGGGTTTGCGCAAGAGCGGAGGGTTTGGTTAAAAAAGGTAACATTTCGAAGGCGGTTGCGGCGTTACGCACAAGCCCCCTCGCCGACCCAAGCTCTGCGACCCTGGCTGCCCTACGGGCGAAACACCCACCGTCAAGCGCCCCAACACCAGCATGGGTTACCGGGATCACTGACTCTGAGCTCCGTATCCCACTCGAGGCTCTGCGCGAAATCCTCGCGAAATGCCCGAATGGGGTAGGGGCAGGGCTCTCAGGCAGCTGTTTTGAACACCTACAAGACCCAGCCCTAGCGAACGAGGAGATCCTCCTGTTGCTGACGAACGTGGTAAATCGCCTCGCCGGCTCTTTCCAGAGTCAATCAGTCCGCGACCTCCTACTCCCCTCTTGGCTCATAGCCTTGGAAAAGCCTGGGGGAGGAGTTAGACCAATCGCAATAGGCGAGGCGTTGCTCCGCGTGGTGGCTAAAGCGGCGCTGCACAGCTTAGGCCCGAAAATCCGGGAATTTTTCCTACCCGTACAGTTCGGCGTGGCGGTTCTTGGGGGAGCGGAGTGTATTATCCACGCGGTTCGTTCTCTCCTTAAGGACGACGAGACCCGCGTAGCTCTACAGCTCGATGTGGAAAACGCATTTAACAGTGTAGAACGCGCGTCATTCATCTCCGCCCTCCAGTGGTCTACTCTCAACACGCTGCTCCCGCTTGTCAGGAACCTCTACGATGGCTCCTCGCGGCTTCTTGTGGACCCCCGTCTGGAAGTGGAGCACATCGTAAGCTCCAGAGGTGTCCGCCAAGGGGATCCGCTGGGGCCTCTCCTTTTTGCGGCAGCAATCCAGCCGATACTACTCAGCGTGGCCACGAGCATACCGGAGGTGGCAATAGTAGCGTATGCCGACGACATCACCATCGTCGGGCCTCGCGAGGCGGCGTGCGTGGCTTTTAACACAGTAGTCACGGAGCTGGCTTCATGCGGATTACGTTGGAACCTTACCAAGTCTGCGGCGTGGTGGGCTTTGTGGGAGGAAGGAGGGGATGGTCTACCACACGGTCTTCCTGTCCACCCAGGCGGCTTGAAGGTGTTGGGCAGCCCGGTTGGCGGCGACGCCTTCTGCACCGACCAGGTCCGCGGGACGCTAGCGGAGGTGGCGGCGCCGCTACATCTCGTCGCCCAACTCAACCCGCAGCACGCCTTACTCATGCTATCTCGGAGCATCTCCCGCCGCATCTCGTACCTCTTACGCACAACACCAGCGGATGCACTGGCCCATACGGAGTGGCGGGAGTGGAGCGAGGCACTGGTAGGAGCCGGGCTCGCGGCGTCAAAGCTTCGGATCCCGCCAAGTGAGCTGGAGCAGAGTCTGTTGTGGCGCCAGGCCACGCTCCCAGTGCGGCTAGGAGGTTTGGGAATCATTGACCCCATCTCCGAAGCCCCAGCAGCGTACCTAGCCTCAACTGCAGCGGCGCACCTTCTCCTGCAGCAGCTGAACCTGTCGCCAGATTACCTTCTTCACAAGGCCGGGAATCTCCTCTCCCCGACATGGGCCCCACCGCCCCCCCGGGCCAACCCGCTGGCACCGCTTGAGGCCAGGCTCCCAGCGCAGGCTGCAGCAGTCCTCCGCAGCTATAGGGAGAACCCGAAAGGCATGGGCGACCTGCAGCTGGGCCTGTCTAAGGCCATTAACCACACGCGGGCGGAAGAGCTGCTCGCAGATACGGTCACAGATAGGCCGAGGGTGGACAGGGGCCATGCAATTCGGCTAATTAGCTTGAAAGGAGTGGGAGCAGGTGACTGGCTCCATGCAGTGCCAACGAGGGCTGACCTCTTAATCTCCCCTGGTCAGTTCTCCATGGCACTGGGCCTGCGCCTTGGCATGGAGTTACCGGTAGCGGAGGTTTGCCCCTGCAGGAGATCCAACTCCTCTACTGCTGACAAGAGCCTGCCGAACCATCTGCTCCGTTGTGCTGACGGCGGGGATGCGGTGCGCACCCACAACGCCCTGGTTTTTGCAGCCCTCCGCATGGCGCAGGAAGCAGGGTATAGGACCTTCCACGAGACGACTGCCTTCTCTCCCCCTGTAGCGAGTAAGCGAGCAGACCTCGCCGTTCGGGACCCGGAATCAGGGGAGACCTGGGCGACAGACGTGACAGTCACGGACCCGGTCCTGCAGAGGAGGGATGTGAGGGCACGGAAGCCGCCAGGATGGGCAGCGGAGGAGGCGTCGCAGACAAAACATCGGCTCTACGTAGGGCGCCCTGGATACGTCGGCTTCTTTGGTTTGGCAGTTGAGACCTATGGGGCCCTGGCGGCCGACACCCAGCAGTTCCTCCGTATGCTAGCCAACTATGCGGCATGGAAGAAATACCGCCAGGGGCGCCTCACCACCACTGCCGCCCGCCTTAATGCACACTACAGGCAGCGGTGGTCGGTCATGCTTCAGCGCAGCCAGGCGACTTCACTCCTATCTAAGTCGAACAGGGCGGCCGAGGCGGCATTCCCACAGGCGCCGGCAGACCCCTGGGCCCCCCGGCTGGGGGACCTCTGGCAAATGCAAGAGGATGAGTACGAGGAGCGTCAAGCCCCTGCCAGAATGGCTTAGAGGGCGGGGAGGGATTGGGAGTGGGGGAGGTTTAGCCGGACGACGGCAGGAAGCTGCGTATGGGGAAAGGGACTGTGGACAGAGAGGCAGGATCAGTAGGGGGAATCCAGAAGCAGGAGGACTGTAGGGACAGGGTTTGGTGGCCTTGGTACTGGCAGGCTCGTTCGTCCTAGTGTGTGGTGGTCTGTTTCAACATCTGGAGAGCTGGTTCTCTGTGTTTTGCTAGTTGTTCGTTTGCCTAGCTTGCTGGTCTCGCTATGTTGGACTCACGATTGCTTGCACGTTTAGACCAAGTGGTAGCTCCTTGCTTGTACCTTGCGAACCATGTCAATAGATGACTGCTTGAGAGAGAGAGAGAGAGAGAGAGAGAGAGAGAGAGAGAGAGAGAGAGAGAGAGAGAGAGAGAGAGAGAGAGAGAGAGAGGCCCTAGGAGCTAGTCCTTAGCCTCTCCAACACTCTCCAGTCTAGTATAAAGTGCTCCTCTGCAGCTAGCTCTCCTCATTGTTCGGTTCTCTTCATTTGTTTCTCCTAACCGAGCGGCGAGAGAGGAGAGAGAGAGAGAGAGAGAGAGAGAGAGAGAGAGAGAGAGAGAGAGGGAGAGAGAGAGAGAGAGCGAGCGAGAGAGAGAGAGAGAGGCCGTAGGAGCTAGTCCTTAGCCTCTCCAGCACTCTCCAGTCTAGTATAAAGTGCTCCTCTGCAGCTAGCTCTCCTCATTGTTCGGTTCTCTTCATTTGTTTCTCTTGACCGAGCGGCTCGCGCCGGCCGCCGAAGGCGGCCGACGCTCGACAGCGCGGCCTTCGGCCGCGCGTGAGGCAACGACAAGCACACAACACACAGAGTTGCTCCTAACGGGTATACAAACATGGCAAGTCCTACCGCGGCCTAGCCGCGCAAACCTCTAATGGCAGAGCCGGAGCCCGCGTCTACATGCGGTGAGCTCCGAGGGCATGATGAATGCCCGTCAGGGAGCCCCACAGCTCCCGGACCACAAGCGTGCCTGCGCCCATCGCGGCGGCTCCAGAACCAGCACGCAAATGGCGCCGCAAGCCGCGCACAGCCTCATCAAGCGGCCCCGCCGCCGCAACGCCTCCCTCGGCGGGCGCAGCCAGCACGGGCGCCAGCAGCCCTGCAAGCTGATCGGCTGCGTCCAGGCAAGAATCGCGATGTCGATCTAGGAACAACTCAGGGGGGGCCGCAGGGAGAGACGAATGTGCAAGAACCTGTATCAGAAGCAGTGCGTGAAAGCTCTCCGCGAGACGGAAGAGCTGGCCGAGGGTCGCCTCCGGAACACGGGCCTGAGGGGGTTGCAGCGCCTGAGCAAGGAACTGGAATGGCTCCTCAACGGCAGGAGGAGCCGGGCCACCCGCCGTCACCGCCCCGCTTCCCACAGCCACAAATTCTACTCCCGCCACGGGCGGAACGGGCGGAAGATGCAACCGCGACCCTGGAACGGGAGCCGACGCGGCAACAGCGGGAGGCGATGGGGCCGGAACGCGAGATTGGACTGGCGCAGCAGGGAGCGGAACCCCAGGAAGCGCCACCTGACGCTGAGCTGGATAGGAGGCGGCAACGTGCGAGCTGCCTTGGGTCTGAGCAGCCCTCTCCTGACGCATCGCGGTCGTTACCGCCTTTTGCAGATCCGCCATCCTCACGGGCGGATCATACAACCCCCCGCCATTGCGACCGTGAGAACCCCACCAGCCACCGCGACCGCCACGGTGAGGATGCCACTGACCCGACCGTTGATTGCGCCAG